CTTTAATCTACTGGAGAAGGAAATGGCAAACCACTTAAGTATTTTTGTCAAAAAAACCTCATGGACATTATGGTCCACAGGGTCACAAAAGAATCGGACATGACTGAATGAACAACAAAATAGGAAGCTTATTCTTATGAGGATTATGGTAGTGATGATGCAAAAATGTGGAGAACACATACAAAATCCAGAACATTCTGCCTACCTAAAGACTAGACTGTGCCCTTGTGATGGGTCTTTGAGGACAGAATTTTAGTATGCTATATTTAATTCTGTGCTGCAAACTTATTTCTATATTTTCCATTTAGTAAATGTTGTAACAGGATAGAATACTGTCAATGGTTCTAGCTGTTTTTCCATATCAGAAAGAATATCGAAATTAGTGAAGAGATTATGAGAAATTTCAGAACTGTTCGTAACTTTGTAACAGGCATTTCTCCAAATAGTGATTACAAATTTACAGGAAGAGAAAGATTCTCATATCTTCTTTATCTCAGAGATCAAAAACCCTACTTAAATCTCTTTCTGCAAATCCAAACTCTTAATCTGTTGCCAACTTTCTTTACCTTTGCATCCATTTTCTTATCTCTACTTGCTTAAACTTTCTTTTTCTTTTCCTTCATAATTGCAGGGTTTTCATGCTTTGATCTTTCACTTACTTTCATTTTAGTCCCTCTTGTCTTTATTTCCCAAACATATCCCAAACTACCTATAGAACTAGTCTTCCATTTAATCTCTCCTTTGCAAATTAGTACAAGTTTCTTTATGAGATACCAGTTAATTGCAGAACTTTTGCTTTGAGGTTTCTTGGTCTATTCCAAATTTTTTAAGGCAACTTTTAGTTTACCTAAACAATTAATTTCTGTTATCATTCAAAGAAGAAAATAAAATGATAAGATAAAACATTTTCCCAAATTAAATTTAACTTATTTTCAAGTAGCTCTCTGATTTAAATAAATCTCTTTCTTTCCAAAGTTAAGAGAATTAATAATAAGTGGTTCATAAGCACCAGATAAATTTGAACTGTAGACTGCAAACTCGTTTTTTTCCCCCCTTCAGTGGACTTCAATAATAATACTTTAAAATACTTCCAATTCTTATTTTTTTAAATCAATGAAATTACCTTCTTCTGTTGTACTAAATACTAAACCAATAAGGCTGTCACTCTCCAGGGAAAAAAGAGGGATAAAAGGGTCTGAAGGTTGTTTTCATATAACTTTCATAAAGCTTTTATTCTTATTTTTTCTTTTAAAATTCTATAAAGTGGTATTTCTAAAACTCACTAAGATATTTAAGCATTTATAAAAAACATTGAAACCACAATTTGGAAATTCACATTTGTAAACTTGAATGTAAATGTAAAGAGATTAAATTTCAGTCACAAATTTAGTCTAATTAGTTAAGATACTATAAATTTCTGCACACTAGGGAAAAGACTTTCTTTGCTATTGTGTGTTTTTTGTCTGCCTTCCCAGTTTGGTTGGTGTTAGAAATGCAGAGAGAGATCAGATCTTTTTGAAAGCTTTGAAAATTCAGCAGAGAAGCTTTTACTCTTTTTACCTTTTTCTCTTTAGCTGATCAGGCTGTAGGAAGAAGCCATTTGGATTTACCAAAGCACGAACTACAGTCAATGCTAACAGCATATGAGACATTTTACAAATAAAACACTTCTCGCTTTAAGCTCTCATTGCTCCTTTGCTATTTTTTTGTCCTGCTTAATAAAATAGGGAACTTCCATAAATTTCTAAACTAGAATAACTTGTCAGGACTGAAACTCCCATCATCACATGGCTGTTGCTGGGTAGAATATTAATATGTGTATCTGTTTCATGCATGACATAAGATATAAAGTCCTTAATGTTCAGACCTTTTGATAGTTTCTTGGGTTGGAAATAAGTGCTAATCATGTTTGCTAATGGGGTGCCTGAGAAGGGGATATTTTATGCCTTTCCCATTCTTCTGAGAGTGTTCAGACTTTGAAGAGACCTTTACGAGACCTTCCGCTCCTACCCTCTCTGAGTCGGGTGCTTGGCTCGGATCTCTTCCCTAGAGATCCCTTTCTGGCAGAGGGTGTGTTGCTAGACCATGGAGATGGCAACAGAAGGACAGTGGACAATGGAGGAGCATACAGCCCTGGTCTGGGGCTTATGTACCGAGGTTTGAATTCTAAGTTGTCCTTGTAGTCTAAGGACATCCTAAGTGGGAGGTATAGAATTGACACAGAGCAACTTCTGAGTTCTTTAACCCAGACCTCTCTGCAACTCAGACTGGGATTTTACATCTTCATCAGGGATCATCAGGTTAACGTAAGAACAGCAACAACAAAAACAACAATACCCGCAAGCATGCAGCTGGTTCCCCAATGCTGACCTCTCTCCTTCCTTCCTGAGTTTCTGTGATCTTCTCTCTCTTCCTCAGGCAACCTGTATTGTGTCTGAGGCTGGTTTGTTCACTCAAAAATTCCTTCCAACACTTCAGCCATTCTACCCTTGTTAGGTCAGAGGTGGAACTGAAAGTAAATTTATAGGCAAAAAACAGCCTCATTTGGCCTTAGGAAATTTTCCTTTCAGTTCATCTTCATCTCCTGGGGCAGAGTTGGGTGTGCTGACCTCAGAAATCCCACTTCTGACACCAAAAACTGTAGTGGAATTTTTTGGGGGGACTCAATCACTCACCAATCTGGTTCTTGAGGTCTGAGTCAGATAATACTACAGTAAGGAGTAGAGTGAAGTTTTCAGCCATTTATTCTGGCTGGCCAAGGCAGATAGCAAGGTTGTGGATGACATCTCCCCTGGGCCTGGCACAGAAGTTCCTTACTGTAACTTTTGTATGAAACAAAGAACACAAAGATATCTATTCTTAAAACACAGGTGGCTATACAAAAAGAAAAGTATACTTGTTGGAGAAAAATGTATATTCTTCGTTATGGGAAATAGAGGAGTGTATTCTCCGAGTACAGCTAAATCAAAGAAATCTGCCAATCAGGCCAGGTAGGGAGAAGAATTTTCCTGGGACTCTGGAATCCTCCACCTGTAGTAGCTGATAAGAAGTGAGAATGAGACACTGAAGGACACATCTACAGCAGCCAGTGTCTTTCAGCTCACTTACAGTAAAACAAGTGACCAAATAAAATCAGTATATTTTGAAACAGGACTAGAAACAGTGGAGATGGGGTGGGGTTTCCTTGACAGAGACATTCAAGGAAATTCCTGGTGAGATAGCAGGGGTTTCTGTTAAGGGTTATTAAGCCAAGGGCAGTGAGGGGTTACTCACAAAAGTTTGCCCCTTCAGGAAACTTGCTGAAGTCAGTCTCTGGATTCATGGGGCAGGGGAAAGGGGGTAGTTTTGTCCATTTCCTTCCCACACCTCTCACCTCTGATTTTTCTTGAAGGCTGGGAGGATTATCTTCTATGAAACTTTAGAGTGGTACTGGATCAGTAATTTGTCAGATGTTTTCCTTAGTAAAGGCAATATGAAAGGCAGATAAGGGTGGCGATTTTGAATGTGATAAGGCAGTGGCTGACATTAGAGTCGTCACATATACAGTAAACCAAGCCTAGCATGGTAGCTTCTGACTCACGGGAGTATTTCTGACATGTGCTCTAAAGCGGATATTAAGATCATAGTCTTCAGCCAGCAGAGACCTCCAGTATATACATATCTTGTTTCTTTAAGATGCCTCATTTCTGTATTAAGACGTCATGTGACATTTAACTTGACATGCTAGTAGTCATGTGGTTCTTTAGGTGAATGGTAATTACAAATAAGAACTCCAGAGTCATACCACAGGACTATGAGGAATGTTGTCCCAGGGTTTATAGGAAATGGCTGGGGTACAGGCTTAGTTTTAGAATTTAAAAAAAAATTGTCAGTTAGCAAATTACTTAAGGTTCAGTCTGACTGGGCATCATGATTGTCACAGTCTTTGTAGTGCATGTGTGTGTCCATGTGTCTGTCTGTGCGTGTCATCTCTGAGGAGTGAGCATCACCATCAGCCTTGCCTGATCCTTTGATTCCTGAGCTTCCCTTGTACTCCAAGGACCACTTCTGTTTGTGCTCTGTTCCTCTCCAGCTGATTTTTAATCTGTGTATACATAGTCCACCTTCCCTCCCCTCGGAGAGTATTAGAGCATCACAGACCTGCAGCTAGAGCCAAGATCAGAAGTCATCCAGTCTAATCTTCTTGTTTTACAGTTGAGGACATTGAAATGTAGGGAAGTTGTGGCACAGGCAGAGGCAGCAGGAGGATCTGAACCTAGGTCTTCTGACCCTGGAGTTGGCGTTCTTTCCACTGTACCACCCTGGGGCCCATGGTTTGCACAACTGATACTAGGCCCCCAGCTTGACCCCTGTGTCATATCTACTGGTTCCCTGCAAAATGGAAGAACAAATTCATTTCCCTTTCTAGCAGCATCATTCTTGATATTTCCTTAGAAGGGTGAAGACTCAGTTGACATCATATTGCCAGTTTACCTCCCCCAGAGACCATTTACTTCTTGGTTTTTCTGAGAGCAAAAACAATTCATATCCCTCACAGTAACTAGCACCATTCATGGCATCATCTCTAGTAGGGACTAAGTAAATATTTGTGTGATTAGTGAATGTTGAATGTTGAAGAAAGACAGTGGATGACCTTTTTAAAGACATTGTATGAATAGGGTTAAAAACTGAGACAGCCTTGTCCTGCCCTCTGTCTTATTTCAGACTAAACTTAAGGGAGGATGTTAGTGATTTGGCAATTAAAAAAAAATCTTTGAATTAAGTTTTTGAATACCTGCCTTATTAAAAACTGGATGCTCTGCTGTGTAGTAGTAACTTGGACAGTCTGATCACTTTCAGGTTAGCAGTGTCTCTGTCCTTTGTCACTGAACTCCTGAGGGCCTTTATACAATTGAAATTTCACTTTAAAAATGCTAGCAAATGGCACATAGCTTTACAGGTAAACTTGTTGCATGTCGCTGAGGGCTTAACGTTTCCTTCCGTTATTTTACATTTTTCAGGGACAAATGGAGAGAGGTATTCTCCCTTAGAAGATGATGTGTTACCTTCACAGAGATTACTGTCTGCAAGGGAACGGAGAAGGAACCAGATTAAAGACCTTGAATCTGTTGTATGTATGATATGAGTTTTTTAAACAAAGATTTTCTTTTGTTGAAGAAGCCAAAGTCCTTTTCTGTAACTCTAAATGTAACTGAGCTAGGGTCTGTGTAGCCTTGTCCTCAGGTATAGATTTGCTGGAAGGCTCTTTGACGTTGCTAGGTGTGTAAATACTGTTGCTGCAGCAGGCTTGGGAAATGCCCAGGAACTGTGTTGGCCGTGCTGAGCAGAACCACAAATTTCCAGCCAACCATCTTGGGCTTCTTGGCATTGATGGCACACCATAACAGTAATGTTCCTGGGTCCCAACCAATTGTCCAAAAAATTCCCAAACAAAACCAAACACAGTTGACTTCTTGCTTGTGCCAGCGGGAAACATTTGAAAATGGGTTGAAGGCTGGTAGATTGATAAGAACAGGCTAAGCAGAGTTAAAATTAGTTGCTTTGCTAAAGAGTGTTCTTATTTCTGATTTTTATTTCATTTCACATTGCATTCTTGTAATTACTGCACATATTTACTAGAGACCTACAACTGATTCTTATTCTGTAGCCCTGAACCTGGATTTGGAGTCAGAGGGCCTGGGTTCAAATCCTGGCTCTGTTACTAATTTTATGACTTTGGTCAATCACTGGACCTCTCTGGCTTTTAGTTTCCTCATCTGTAAAATAAAGTTGGGTTAGAAGACCCCTTAAATCTCTTCCAAATCTTTGATCCTATGAGCCTCATCAGTTTCTACTGGCATAGGTATGGGAGAAACAGTATTTGAGACAATTAGTGAGGTTGTATAAAGGAGGAAAAGGACTATTTCTGACTGAGTTTTCTTTCAGTCTCAGTCAAATCTAGATTAAGTACTGCTATGTGCCAGGCACTGTGCTAAGCTCTGGGGTTTCAAAGAATGATATAAGTCCTTGCCCTTGAGTAGATCACAGTCTAATGTAGGAGACAGCATGCCAACACACACACACACAGAGTAAGCTTTATATTTATACAGGATAAATAGGAAATAATTAAAAGAGGGAAAGCATTAGAATTAAGGGGCGATTGGGAAGGGCTTCCAGTAGAAGGTGGGGTTTTATCATGAGACTTGAATGAAGCCAGTAGGTGAAGATGAGGAGGAAGAGCATTCCCAGCATGAGGGATGGCCAGAGAAAATGCCTGGAGCTGAGAGATATAGTGTCCTATTCATAGAACTGCCAGGAGGCCATTATATCAAAGAGTACATGTGTTTGGGAAGGTGTAAGGTGTAAGAAGACTAGAAGGGGGTAAGAGGAAGGCGGGTTATGAATGCTTTGAACACCAAACAGAGCATTTTGTATGTGGTTCTGAAGGTGACAGGGAGCCTCTGGAGTTTATTCAGTGAGAAAGGGTGATGTGGTTGAACCTGTGCTTTAGGAAAATCACCTTGATAACTGAATAGACAGAGACTTGGGGTAGGCAGACCAACCAGCAGACTCTTAGAGTGGTCTTTAGAGTGAAGAGATGAAGGCCTGCAACCAGGGCGGTGGCAGGGTCAGAAGAGAGATGGGGCTTATTCAAGAGATGCTGCAAAGGTGAAATTGACAGGCCTTGGCACCTTGGCTTTAGGGGGTGAGAGATAGTGAGGCATCAAGAATGGCACTTTGTCTGTCAGCCTGAGGGACTTATTACTTTTCAGTAATAAGGAAGGTAGGAAATGGGGAGGGTTTAGGGGAAAAGATGATAATGAGTTCTGTTTTATATGTGTTGAGTCTCATACCTCTACTGAACATCCAGCTTGAGATGTCTGAAAAAGGCAGTTGGAGATGCAAGTCTGGACATCAGCAGAGAGGTTAGGGATGGATAGGAAGATATGAGAATTTCTGCCCCGTTCTGATCGTGACTCTGGCATTCCAGTTTCTCTTTCTCTTACAAAGTCACAGAATTTGAGAGTCCTCAGTGGCCATTTTTTCCAACCAGCATTGGAAAGGAATCATCACTATCACATAGTCACCAAGAGGTCACCTGGCCTCTGTTTGAAGACCTTCTCACTTTCTTTGGTGGCAGTTTCTCAGTTATATTTACTCCCTAAGCACAGAGGAACCAACATGGAAACACCACAGTAACATTCCATTTGACACACTGGAGTGTGAACCAGATTGCCTCTTTCTGGGCATTTGCATGTGTATCATTTTCTCTGGGTATAACTCTGTCTCTTTGCTTTGGAGTTAATCTTTCTTTTCTTCTTTAACTTCTTCTCTGTTGTCATTGTGTCATTTTCAGTCTTGTCATGACCCTTTTTGGGGTTTTCTTGGCAAAGATACTGGAGTGGTTTGCCATTTCCTTCTCCAGCTTATTTTACAGACAAGGAAACTGAGGCAAACAGCGTTATGTGACTTGCCCAGGGTCACACAGCTAGTAAGTGTCTGAGGCTGGATTTGAACTCAAGTATTCCCGACTCCAGGCTCTGCACTCTATTCACTGTGCCACCTAGTTGCCCAACTTCTTTGTTGCTGGATACCATATTTTGGTAGTGATGTGGTCATAACTCTGGATTAGGAAGATACTGTGTTAGCTCTCTGAAGGATTAAGTGGAACAGGATGAGACCATCAACAACAAGCAATTATTAAGCACCTACTATGTACTAGGCTTTAGGGATGCTAATACAAAGAATAAAATAACGTTTATTCTTAAGAGAGTTTACATCCTATTGAGGAAGACAGTATGTACACATCTAAGTTAATATAGAATATATGCAAATATATAGTAGTTAAAATCAAGGTAGTTTGGTACAGAAGGCTATAGTTGTGGAGATCAGGAAAGGCTTCATGAAGAAAATAGTCCTTGAGCTCTGTCTCACTTGAGAGGGATACCATGGGGTGAAGGTGAGCAGTGAGTGCATTCAGTGTCACATGGTGAGGAAGAGAGAAGAGGCCGGTTTGGCCAGACAGATCATAGGTGTGGGCAGAGAAATAATGTCTAATGAGACTGGAGAGGTGGTCTGGGACCAGGTTTTGAAGGGCTTTAAAAACCAAACAGAAGTTTATATTTTAACCTACAGGAACCAATGGAGTTTTAAGCTGGGGTAGTGACATTATCAGATCTACATGTAGAAGACAGACTGCAGGGGGAAGGGACTGAGGCAGCGAGGCCAGTTAGGCTGGTGCAGTAATCTTGGAGAGAAGAGAGGTGCTGACTTCCTGACCATGAGTGTTAATTGTGCAAGCAGAGAGAAGAGGTTAAATGTGAGACATGAGGTACAGTGGAAATGGCAAGATAGGGCCATCGGGTATATTGTGGCAGGAGACAGGGAATAAGCTGTAAAGATTACAAGCCTGAGACTGGGAGAACAGTACTGTCTCCAACAGAAATAGCAGGTTTGGAACAAGAGTGAGTTTGGGGGGAACATATGATAATTTAACTTTTGAACATGTTGAATTTGAGCTGACTCTGAAACATCCATTTAAAAATGTTCATGATGCAATTGGTGATGTAGAACTGAAGGTCAGGGAAGACTAAGAAATTAGGAAGCTGGGAAGAAGATGAGTTCAGTTTTGTACATGCCAAGTTTCAGGTGCCAGTGAGACATCCAGTGATTATGAGCAGCAGGCAATGGGAGATGTGGGACCAGAGGCTCATGGGAAAGATTGAGACTGGAGATATATAATCATCTACATAGAAGAAATCTGCGTAGCCGTGTGAGATCACCAAGGGAGAGTTATAGAGAAGAGAATGTGGCTTTAGAGTTTTGGGGAACCCACATTTAGAAGACAGGAGGGATAAATTGTATGACCCATAACCATAACAAACCTAATTTTAAGGTTGTAGAGTGCTCTGTACATAGCTCTGGCATTTCAGAAATTCAGTTCAACAAATATTTAAGTTCTGTCCTCTAACTGCAGGATAATTTTCATCCTACTGTGCAACCTGATGGTTTCTCCTTAAAGTCAGTATCCAGTATAAATGTTGACCAGCTTAGAATTAGAAATGAAGAACGGATGCGAAGACTAAATGAGCTTCAAAAAAAACCTATTGATACAGGTAAAGAACCATATTTTAAGGACTACTGTGTGTTCTTGGAGAAGTGGCTACTTTGAACACATTTCTTGATGACAGGCTATATACAGCTTCTGGAATTTCCAGTACTGTGCCTTGGGACCTACGAATAGCAGCAGTGATCTAACAGAACTGAAGTTGTCAGGGGCATGTCAGCTTTTCCAGTGAATAGGACCTGTTAGGAATCTTCCTAATAATGGGGGGTTTAGGGGGAATGACCCTCTGCTGATTCTCCAATGCCTTATCATGGCAAAGAGATGATACTGGATTTTCAGAGGCTATGACAGTAAAGCATAAACTTTGACAAGGTCTGAAATTCAGGCCCAGTGAATTTTTTTTTTAATTGAAAACCAACCTAATAAAGCTCAGAAAAGCTCATCACCATCAGGTTGGCTGCCAGGTGGTGGATTTTTTTTTTTTAAAGCCATGGTAACTCCTGAAAACCATTAATCACAGGTTGCTTTGGGATGCTCATTCATGCTCTTAGCAACAACCTTTGTGGCATTATAGTAGAGAGGAAGCTAAGTTTAATAAAATGTGAATTTTTAAAAATTGAATAAGGAGATGGCCAAAAATTGTTTTTAATCATTAAAACATTTGATTAGTATTATTGGCTAAGTTGTGATTTCATAGAAATCATTTCAACCTATTAATGTTTGCTTTTTGCGTTTTAGAAAAAAGAAAAATATGAAAATAGGTTAAGATGATCGTATTAGAATTGTTTCCTTTTGTAGGCTAAATAAATGATACTAAATCATTATAGTATTACAAACCCTATTGGCCAAACCCATGGCAGTAATTTCTTGGTGAAATCTGGTGATGTGCAGTGTTTTAAAAGTACTGCCACTTTCCACAAAGCATGACATATGCCCCGTTCCATCTAATGTACAATTAGAATATTCCTGAAATCATCCTCAGCACTGAGAAAGTATATATTTGTTTTAGTTGCTTTGCCAGCCATGTGTTTCTGTTTTCCTTCTCTAACTATTAAGTGAGACAGTGTTGTCAATAAGTTGTATCACATTATTAATTCTTCCAGATAATAAACCCACATAATGGACAAACTTTGTTGGGTCTGTTATTATATACTTTTTATCTCAGCATGTCCTTTGATTTATACTTGTACCCATAACTTAATACCTGTTATTAATTTATTCTGGATTTGAATTTAAAGTTTATCAGAATGTAACAAGGACTTTCTTTCAAATACATTTCTTTGTTATCTAGCTTGAGAATGAATGTATTAATTCCCGATAATCTCTAAGCTAGGGGTTTTTCATGGAGAGGGGAAGAGTTATGTGAACTTTTAAAAATTATTTTGACAACTGGCCAGAAGGGGTCCATGACACAAAAAAGGTTGAAAACCCCTACTCTAGGCAGTAGAATGTTCACTAATTTTTGTTGGTTAATTTCCCCATTGGTAGGATGAATTTTAATATATGCTCTTCTTTAGATGCTAAGAAATTTAGTAATAACCAGTTACTGAGGTGTTTTTTTTTAAAATTTAATATTGTCCTTTCAAACAGGAGCTTTTGGGTATGATCTGGATTGATTGCTCATTAAGTTGTTTTCACGTGTCCCTTTGCTGTGCCAGTCCTTCACAGACCAGGAGATGTAATTTAAAAAAGAAATGAAATTTCCATCACAGGGTAGGAAGACAGATTTTCATACAATTATATCTAATAATAAGTAAGCCATTAAAAATATAGGTGTAGATGTACTGTTCAAATAAACTAAAATCCTGTAGGAGAGAGAATTAGAATAGACACTGTTTGATTTCTTATTTTTGGTCAAAGGTAGTTCCTTCCAAACAGCGTTTCAGTAATTCACCACCTTCTGTGTAAATTGCCCTTCAGTTCCCTCCCTGAAAATAATTTATGTTTTCATAGGCCTTAAAATTTACACTCGACACACTAATTTATTCAGGGCTTCCAGAAAACCTGCCAGGTGAGTACTACAAGTAATTGACCCTTATTTTACAAATGCAAAAACTGAGGCACAGTGAGGTTCAATTACTTGCCCATGGTCTCATAACTAGTGTCAGGAGTGTGCTTGAATTCAGACTTCCCCTTACTCCAAGTCCAGCGCTGTACTACTCACTAAATTTTCATTCCATATGGAAAATAAAAATTGAAATTTTGTTTCTGATTGAATTTACCCATGTTATGTTAATGGGGAAAGTTGTTTTCCATTATCTTCACCACTTTTTTTTAGAAACTGAAAAAAGGAAGAAACCTGAACATGTAAGTAATTGGTTTCACAGAGATTACCCTTGTATGAGGTATTGATAAAGGGTATTGAAATTATTTTTACACAAATATTTTTAAGTTAATGTATACATCAGCACTAACCCAGAAATATGGATCTCTGTCTATCATAGCTTTTATGATATCCCAGGTTTTCCATATCAGGAGCTCTTTTTCAGAATGTTGATGACTGTATTAATATTGGCCTAATTAAGGCTCTGAGCTTGCTTGAGGAAAGAACTTCTAAAAGTCAGCATATGCTGATTAAGTAAACAAAAATTAATTTTTTGATCTTTGAAAATACTCTTCCTCTTCCACTGTCACGCAGTTATAAGGCTGATTTTTCAACAAAATATTTGACTTGCTCAATTCAGTTCCCGTTTTAGAAATGATTTATGTTAGCGTGGTTTATTCTTTTTGTCCTAAAATATCTTGACGTGTTTTCTCATAGGCAAAATTGATCCTCTTAAGTAAAAGGAGCTTCAAGATGCCTTTGCTATTTCTAAAATTTCTTTTAGCCCTACTATGATTTTTGGGCCTATGCTAGAGATCTTGAAAGGGAGCGTGTGAGAAGTAAAATGAAGCATTAGGGATCATTACAAATATCTGAATTACTGAACTGTCAATTATCAGCATGCCACATGACTTGTTTTTTGAGAAAAAAAAAGGATAATTTGGGCCATACCAGTTCACTTTTGATGGCTCTGTCTGTATTCTACTATATCAATAAACAGTGAATTTTTCTCACAAGGGCAGGTCCTTGGTTTTTAATCATTTAATTTTGTAATTTAACAGCTGTTAAATTCTTATGTTCTACATACACTAAATTAGTTTATGTCTCCATATTATGCAAAGCAGGAAAATGTGAGCCTCCTGTTTCTCTTTTCCTCCAGATGATGAAGTTTCTCTGGTTGATCCAGATGACATTCTTAAGCACTTTACGTCCCAGGGTGGTGAAAGAAGACCCAGTTCCGTAGAAACTGTAGCCACAGAGCCTTGGCTTCGACCGGGAACATCAGAGACTCTGAAAAGGTTCGTGGTTGAGCAGTTGAACAGAGAGCAGCGTTCCTCTGAAAATCCATTACCTTTTAACTGGCAGGGCCTTTCTACAGCACATGGTTAAAAATAAATCTAGACTGGAACCAGTTGTGCCTTTCAAGGTAAAAGGAATGTTAATCTACTGAACTTTTTGTATTGTGGGCCTTATTCCCCACCCCTAAAATCCCCCCTCATGTGGATGGACAATTTTTAACCTGTAAAATACCATACTAAATGTGTACATATGTATTTTTTCCATTTTTTTTGTTGCTTTCATGTGTTCCATGAAATTGTACAGGATGTTATGTTTTTTTTTAAAGCCACCATTACTGTTAGTTATATAATGCATAAAGTATGGAATTATTTTCTACACATTTTGCCATAAATTATAGTAGTAATGAAAAGTTCTTGTAACTGACTACCATATGTGCATTATCTTTATTCTGCCTGTTACTAGGATGAAGTGAATAAAATTTTAAAGTGTCTTAATACATGTAAAACTTGAAGACCCTTTGGTCGTGTGTCTATAAATGCACAACTTTGCTAGTGTCATCAATATTCAAAATCATCTTTTAGCAAATATTCCAGCATGCTGTGGTAGCTTTGAACATTCCCCTTACCAGCTACTATTATTTAAATATGGAAGCAAAGATGCTTTTTAGTTCTGCATCATTTTATAGCTGCTGACTCATTTTGTAAGTAAATGATGGGGGCCATAATTGATTTTGATTTTATTCCAATCAGTTGTGTACTAAAATGAGAATTACATCTTTTTTTTTCTGCCTCTGTTGTATTTTTGGTGCCAGTGAAGGCATTGTCTTAAGTTAATGTCTAATTTATGGTATGATTTAACTACTTGTTAATGGAAATAAAGTTTTATTTTATTATCAGTGCTGTTCTGTAGAAAATGTAATTTTACAATTAAAAATTATAATCCTTGCAGTAAACTAGCCAATTATTCTAATGAGATCCTAGGATTCTGAGTTGAAAAGAAAGTGGTGTGTAGTTAGTTTTCAAAATTGAAATAACTAGAAACTTTCTAGGGTGCTATGAAATTAGGGGTTCAAACTGGTGCTTTAAGTTGATTGTCCATTTTCTGTTTCATCAATATGAGACAAATTGAACTTGGATTTGCCATCCCATTGTATTCCATCCTTTTTGGGTCATGCCCCGGAAAAACCATTTGACAACCAGCTCTTATTGTTTCCACAACTATTATTCTGGTTAAATTTTCCAACATTGGCAATGAATTGATCGACTGACAATGGCAAACTATAGCTAGCCTTCAAAGAATATTAATTTAAAATGGGAGGTGACATAATGCTTCTCTGACTGGCATTTAGAATGCCAGTCTAAGCCATCCTCATAACCAATTTGGGCTTTCTGAGCAAGGGCCACGATTGTTTGGAAGAAAAGCCTATATCCTAGTCCTTTTGTATCCACTGCACACATTGTCAGTTTAAACAAAGTATCCTCAAAGCAATATCCTACTGTGACTGAAGAGGAAAAGGAATTCTGTCATCTAACAATTTTGTGTAAGCATAAATTCATCTCCTCTACATCTAAATCCTTGTTTCATGAGAGTCTTCTAAATTAGAATTCTGAAGCTTGCAAAGGACTTTTTATTTGGGATATGTGGCCTTTGGGATCCATATCAAGTAACCAAGTGACCAAAGACCTCACCTCTGATTCACAGTTAAAAAAAGGATATTTAAGTTTTCCTTGGGGGAGGAGGGAGAGCACTGGAAAGACCATCCTCTATCGCATTTTATAAAGACATGGAGTCATAGACAAGGAGGTTGAAGTCCTGCAGTTCTCTGTCCAACTTTGTTATGAACAACTTGAACAAACCCATTTTACACATTTATTTATTTGTTCAACAAATATTTATTGAGCTCCTACAAAGGAATATAATTGAGAATGTTTCTAACACTTGGACCCTGAAGGGAAAAGCACCATGTGAGGAGGTGGTTGCATTACTGATATATATTACCAAGTCTCTGGTAGGCTGTCAGCCTTACTCTGGGTTCTCAGTTGCTCATACACAAAAGAGGTAAAAACAGTTATGACTATCTTTAGTTTGCTGAGTTTAAGCCTTCAGGAGGCACAATGTGGTGAAGGCAGGAGTATGCGGGAGGAGATCCAAAGTACCTAGAGCAAATAAAATGTGTTTTGAACTGGAACTTAAAATAACTATTTTATAGTTCTTGATATGCAGTTAAAAATCAGAGTCAATGAAACAAGTTTCTGTAGATTACACTGGTTTTGATTGCACTGATGAAAGAATTCAAAAACTTTATTGACCTATAACCTGATTAGAATATGCCAGATGAGAACCAATATTGTACAGAAAGTTGTACAGAATTTTTACATAAAAAACTTTACATATCTGTACCATATACATTTTATCCATCTGAAAAAATTTTCTACATCCACTGTTAATACGGAATGCTTGACAATCTTGTCTTTTTTAAGCCATCAGAGCACAATTCACAGTATGAGTACATTTCCAATAAATCTAACCATCCTCACTCAAACCATGCCAGATTTGTTACTTTAATATATTCAACATTAAATTCTGTACACAGAGTGAAATCTACATCAGTACTCCCCCGAAAAAAATAAAAGAAAAAAAATTGTGACAGCAGACACAACCTAGACTTGTTTTTTCAGTGATTCAAGTTCCAGTCCTTGAAGGATCATATTTTTAATGGCTCATGTTTAAAAGCCCTAACACAAGTATGTTACAGGTAGTTATGTCAGTAGTGAGTGATATTATTCTACCTCTGTTTTCGATAAGAGTCAGCAATGGTAACTTCTGGGCTATAATTCCCCTGCCCCCCACCCCAGAATTTTCACTGCACTGGGAAAAAAAAAAGATCCCACAAAACAAAAACAAAACAAATATCAACCCAAACTTCTAGTGCATCTGATAAACAAAATATTATGGGTCTTTAGCAAATGAATAAGAAAATAAAGAAATAAAATAAACGAATGCAGGAAGAATTATATAATGTTTAAGGTTTTATATTACAGACCTGCATCTCTGTACATTTTTTTTTCACAGAAGGATGATTACCAATATCTCAGGTAGCCTGAGTGTGCAAAAATCTTCAGAATAAGAATACCATAGTTGCTAAATATCTTTTACCGTGAGCAATAATTTTCTCTTTTCCCCCCAATTATAAACATTTTACCCTTCAAAAAACAGCTCTCCTGAGTTGTACTTCTTGCAGAAGTTCAAGCCCTTTACATGTATAGTTAGTTCTTTGGGTGAATTTTACTCTTCATACTTGCCATAAACACTTGTGGCTATCCTGCTGTCTAGAACAAAGGAGGGTATCATAGCACATACTGACACACTGTGCTGAAAACAGGCTCTAAGCTCAACATGAGCCCAACAAGACAATCAGAGATAATCCATCAGATAACTGAAAAGGATTAGATGGAGTGTTTGTTGCAAGTCTTGAGTTACAGTTCTACACGCCTGTACCATCAAACCATAGAAACATGCTGCCACACAAAGAAGGCATTTTCTAAACTGGAAACCTTAGCTCCACAGTCCTTTTAAAGAGCTGAAGGATATAAACTCTAACAGAGTAATATTGTTACCATCACTGCTTGCTTGTTCCAAGCTCTTGTTCAGGCGGTTGTGATATCTGAAAAACTACTCCAATACGAAGAAAAAACCTTCGGAGAACAGCTCGAAGTTCAGGAATCAGGTCAAATTGCATAATTTCACACAAGAGAGGGTAGTAGAATGATGCATGAGCTTTAAACTGGGGGGAAAATGATTTTCATATTTAGCATTGCTAGGATTCAAACAGAGTATTATAAATGTATTTGCAAAACTAAAGAGTTTAAGGACTGATAAATCTAGGTGAGAGCTGAAGAATTTACTGAATGTATGACGACAACACAGGTGGTTTTTCTTTTTTAAATTTCTAGTGTTTTGTTGTATTTATTGACTGTAGAGCTAAATTTCAATAGATATTTTTTCTTTTAAAAATCTGTACTTTATAAAATAAATAACTTTATTTTTTCCCTAATAAATTTAATGATTTTCCTCAGTACTCAGTGAAAGTAAGAAAACAAACTGTGGATATATTATAGCTTTTTATACATTCTGTGTATAAGTTGGATCATTTAGGTTTTTCATTAAAGTTTTAAAATATTTTGCCACACTCTTTCTCCATTTGGCCAGGTAAAACATGCAGTGATGAATGCAAAAACCCTTGTTCTCTTAAACTGATCTAGTGTCTACATTTTCTGTCTTCTACATTTCCCTATAAGATTTTCACAGGAATATATGAAATACTTATTTATCCCAAAACACAAAAAAAGTAAAAGTTTTTTTTAAAATCATGTTTTGGGTTTTTTTTGTCCAACAAAATTGTAATTTCATCATTTCAAGGAACTGCTGATATAGAAATTTCCTCTGCCTTTTAGACAACTCACAAATTATATCCTGAGAGAGGTACCCAGAGCACTGGGTACGAACGACTTGCCCACTTACAGAGCTAGCAGGCATCACAGGCAGGACTTTAATCAAGGTCTTCCTAATTACACTCTACTACATCGAACTGCCTTTCTCTTTTTATATTTGGATAAAACACTCTGCCTGTACCTATGCTGTATGTTCCTCAATAGACAAGAGATGCTTCTGTATACCTTGGAGCAGCTCCAGACTTTCACTCTTGAGGTTTCAGCCTGGTTTTCCACTACAGAGGACTGCCTTAAGTGACTGATTGCTTATACTACTGTTCTCCTTGCTGGGGTCTACGTATCTCCAAGGAGCTCACTTCCCATTCTCCTCACTGACTTTATTTAGCAACTGGTCACCTTCTTCCTTTTCACCCCAACCCTTACTGTGCCCTTGGAGACATCAAAATTAAAGCTGAAATACTCTCAAACCCTCAACTTTAGGAATCACAGATGAGAAGCCACATTTTGCCTATAGTTAAGGGCACTTATTTGGATAAGTTTTTAAAAAGTGATTTAAAAAATTTCAAACAAAGCACAGCTGTACACACACACACACACACACACACACACACACACACACACACAGAGGTTGGTTTCTCATCATACTGTGTTTTCATGTTTATGGCTCATAACTCTCCCAATCTGCTTTTAAAAGTTTTAACAATTTCATTGTGAACTTATTAGGGATTGCACTGCATATGGAAACAAAAGATTTCAGCAGAATTTCTAGGATGGCTATTAAGAAGGAGGAAGGATTTCAGGAGCAGCTGGGCCATAGAAAGGGGTGGGTGGGTGAGAGGAGGGCTATGATAAGGCAGGATTGGAGAGTAAAGGCAGAAGAAATGTTAGGTCAGAGGGTATACTAAAAGCACATTAGATAAAGTGAGAGGAATGAGAACAGCAGAAAAGTACTATTCTCCTTTGCCCTCCCTTTTTGTTACCAGCCTATTCTTCCAAAGTTAACCCTTGATTTAAATGGAAAATCATTGACTGCCTGCTACTTTCAAACAAACCTATTTCCTTCCCTGCTATAGCTTACAAATGATTTTCTGTTTTGATATAAACTCATGATAAAACTCCATGAAATCTGATTATATATTATATATTGAACAGCAACAAGCCCACAGAATTTCTTCCTCAAATTCACAATGTTATCAATTTTCATAATTAAAACCAGAACCAAATACTGTTTTTAAGGATAGAACAAAAGAAACATTACTATATCCAATACATACCCTATTGTCACTTATCTTTAGAACCTTAGTTAGGAACAAAAGCAGTAAATTAGTCCAGGCTTCTCGATGACTTTCTGATGTAAGGGTTAGGAAATAACTTAGTGCTTCACTGCAGACACTACAAAACGAGAAGGCATAATTTATTTAAAAAATACACACAGACACAGACA